AGTCCCTTAAAAAGGGAATTGAGGGGACTGTCGAGCGTAGGAAAGTGCAGAGTCCCTTAAAAAGGGAATTGAGGGGACTGTCGAGCGTAGGAAAGTGGAGAGTCCCTTAATCAATAAGAGAATTCTCTAGATAAAGGAGCTCGATGGCCTAGTGTCACAAAACAGTACTGCAATTCCAAAGGCATGCGGTTTGAATCTACCAGCTATTCTGTGGGAGAAAGATAATCTCCTCACTGGTGATTTACAGCCTCGGAAAACCAGCTGGAGTTCGGCTATGGGTTGGTTCCAACACCACAGCACACAAACACAATAACTAGACAAAGTGAGGCATTTATTAAAGAGAAGGACAGCCTAAACTGAGCATTGGTGAAAGGTTTTCTAGGTTTGGGTGAAAGTCCAAATCCCCCCTCCTCTGTTTTACAGATCTCTGTCATCACGTTGTTTTCTGGCACGCCCGTCATGGAGATGGGATCTATTTCTGGTCTCATCCTAGGGTGTGGTCTCAGAGTGAGGAGCCACCCTACTAGTTTCTACTTACCCTCACTTGTGACCAAACATGGAGTCTCTCAGCACCATCACCCACTTTAGTCACCAAACTTGGCACCACAGGGTGGCTTTTGGCTGCTTCCAAAAATAATATCCGCCCTCAGAGGGCCAGGATCTGTCACAGCCAAGGGGATTCAGAAGTGCGCTCCACATGCAGTAGTCCTCTTGGAGCAGGGTGGTGGTGTCCACCCGCTCGTTTCACCAACGAGGAAGCTTCTTCAGGTGATCCAACCCTGGATCAGTCTTGTGTTTCTTTAAAAGTCCATGGAGCACCCATTGCCTTGGTCAGTTCTGGTGTGTGTTCATCATTCTGCCCACTGTTTTGTGAACGGGCTGATGTGACCCAGGAACGCTAGGCAGGGGTAGGTGAAAGGAAGTGGAAGGTGAGGGGAAGAAGAAGGGAAAAAGAAGAGGAATGAGGACAGAGAGGGAGTCATAGATTTTGAGGGAGGACATCTTGTTTGTTTACTGAGAGCTCAAAGTGAGTGTGAAGTGAATGGAGTCTCTTTCATTGCACAGTGCCTGACACAGTGGCTGGTGCAGAATATTTGTTGTTGTCTATGCTGTTGAGTTGGAAACGACCCATAGCTGATTCTCCAGCCAGTTGGCCTCCAGAGGCCATTCATTTCATGGGAGGAGATTGCCTATCCTTCTTCCCCATTGTTGTTGTTGCGTACTATAGAGAAGGAACCGTAGCTGACCCTCCAGCAGGTTTTCAAAGGCAGTTAATCATGTGAGGGGAGATTGCCCATCCTTTTTCCGCATAGCATCCAGTAAATGGCTACAGAATGAAGGCAAGGGGAGGTCATCATGCTGTGAGAGGTTGAGTCTTCCTTTCAGAGATTGGTTATTGCCAGTGTCATTCATCCAGAGAATCGCCCAGGAGGCCTCAGATCTCAAGTCTTGGGACATAGCTATCCATTTATCTCTGATTTTTATGTTGTTCATCAAAGCCCATGTGTTGTTTCTGGCTTGTAAGTTGCAGCAGAGCTGAATCTGACTCCCAGGGACCATCTCTGGGTAGAGCAGAATTGCCCTGCAGGGCTTTCAAGGCTGTGGACTTTCCGCAGCAGATCTCCAGGTTTGTATTCTGATGTGTCTGTCTCTGGGTGGGTACAAACCACTAATGTTTTGGCTAAAAATTGGACCCTTAACTGTACCACTCCTGGCCTCCAAGCTGTGAGGGGAGACTAGTGTGACGTCCACTCTTGGGAGATAGGCCAGGAAGAGCAGGGCCCCAGATAGCAAACCCTGGCTCCAAAGTCAGATGATCTAATTCCTGTTGTTATTTGGCTATCTTCCTGTTATTTTGCACATGTCTTCAATAATAACTAGGTGGCGTAGTTTGTAGCAAGTTGCATTGCTAATCTGTAGGCCATGCCTCTCTCTGGTGGTTTGAATCCACCAGTAACTCCTTAGGAAAAAGATGAGCAATCAAGCAATCATGTGCTGTGCAACTTACAGCCTCAGACACCCAATAAAAGGTTAACTATGAGGTGGTTCTGGTTCCATGGCAATGAGTTTTTTGAGTGTATGTGCCAGGCAGACACTTTGCTAAGTCCTTTTCATTCATTATCTCATCTAATCACACAACAACTCCTACCCTGAGATGCTATTATTACTCAGTTTGCTGAGGTGAAAATTGGGTCACAAGAGGTAAAAAACCAGGGGAGCTCTGGTGGCCTAGTGGTAAGGAGCTGCAACTACAATCTCAGAGGCACATGGTTCGAAGCCACCAGATGCTCTGCCAGGGAAGGAGGGACAATCTCTTCCTGTACCAGTCAGATCTGTTTTGACGGTACACTCACACAAAAATAATAAAATAAAATTTAAAAAAAATTAAAATAATAATAATAATAAAAAGAGGTAAAAATCCTTGCCCGAGGGCATACAGTCAGGAGTTGGCAGAGCAGGACCTGAACCCAGGTCTGTGGGACTCCCAAGAAGTTTTGACTATTATGCTCCACCCAGTGACTACAGCAATGAGCTCAAGTGTGTCAGAGATGACGAGGATGGCACAGGATAGGACAGGACTCAGATCTGTCGTTCACAGAGTGACGGACAGTTGTAATTGACTTCATGGCACTTAACAACACTCCACCCCTTGTATTTGAAAATCCCAGCCTTCTCTGTGCAAGAGAATATTAAGAAAGTAATTAGCAGGATTCTGTGTCTCTTTGGACCACAGTGTTCAAGGGGAAGTACAGCTTCCCCTCCCTCGCACATGTGCACAATGTTGACATTGGTGTGATGGGGCGAGGGGGTCCTGGTGGCGCAGTGGTTAAGATGCTTGACTGCTAACTGAATGAAGGCTGGTATTCTAGCCCTCCGGCCTCTCGGTGGGAGAACAGTGTGGCAGTCTGCTTCTGGATGGATTGCAGCCGTGGAAACCATATGAGGAAGTTCTACTCTGTCCCATAGGATCGCCATGAGTCACAACTGACTCGTTGCCAGTGAGTTTGGTTTTGGTTTGGAGATTGGGGGTGGAGTTGCCAGGGAGAGAAAAGAAATCCAGAGCTTTCCCATGAGGACCAGAGAGCATGAAGGGGCAGGAAGATGGAAAATATCAGCTCGGGGAGATATCAGCTCAGGAAGATATCAGCTCGGGCTCAATCCTAACGTATACTGAACACTTAATGTTTCAGGCATGTGCTCAGAACCGGGGATAAGAGGTCCATTAGACACAGTGCCTTCCCTGAGGGGCCAGGGACACTCACTGATGGCCCTGGGTTTCTCACCTTCCAGGCAGACAGTCAGTTCTCACTACAGGAAAATGAGTTTTTTGAGATTATGTGCTAGGCAGTCACCATGTGAAGCCCCTCTGATTCATTATCTCATCTACCCTTGTAAGGAGGGGAGCTCTGGTGGCTTAGTATAAGGAGTTCTGTGGTCAGCCTGAAAGCTGCTCCTTGGGGAGAAAGCTGGGCAGTCTCCTCTCTTGCAATTTACTTCCTTTGAAAACCCTCTGGAGGGTCAGCTCTGCGTTAGTTCCGATCTGACAGTATCTAACAGCAATCTCCTAACAACCCTTACCCTTAGGTGTTCTTATTACTCAGTTAACTGAGGTGAAAATTGAGTCACAGAGAAGTGGAAAAACCATGCGCAGATGACTAGATCTCAATGGGTGTGGTGCCTGAGACCCATGTCCCTTCCTGGGGAACAGAGATTGACTCTACGCCTGCTCTGAGCCTGAGCCTGGCCCTGAACCAGGCAGAACTCTGCTCGGCTGGAATGGTGGGTGAGCATCATATCACTGCTCTCAGACACAAACTGCAGTGACTTGAATTTGATGAGCAGCCAACATCTCTGCTACAAACAGCACCCCTCTAGGTCCCTGGGGCAAATCAGCTGTGACATACAGTGACTATTTGCAAATGTGACCTTGAACTGGGGGCTCCTAAAGCAAATAGAATAGGATGTACCCACCACCATAGGAGGGGAGAGCTGCCTTGCAGGTACTCCTCAGTGTGGTGGGTTCCCCCCCCCATTTAATCAGGGGAGCATGTGGGAGCAGGGTGCTTTCCAAGCCTCTAGATGTTCCAGTCTTTTGTGGTTTACACAGTCATTTTGTAGGGGTGTGGTCTCCCCAGGAGGTTGGGCTAGAGTTAAGTATTCACTAACAGATCAGAGCCACAGGCTGTGAAGGACTCCCCACAGCCCAGTCTCCCCTCCACTGATGCTAGAATCAGCCTCACTTTAGGGTCATTTGATTTCTAGGGCTTTCTCTTTGCCCTGCTGTGATCTGGGAACCCTAGGCCATATGACGGTCCCCCCCCAAAGGTCAAATGTTCCAGTCAGGGCCTAGGTAGTCGTTTTCTTTACATCCAGAAGGGCTATGGGCTCCAAGTGCAAACTATCCCCCTGTCCCCAGAGCTCCACCAGGGAAGGAAGACTTGCCCCTTCTACCCTCCCTCTGCGAGACACTGCTGTTGAGCCTCCTCCCAAAATGGAGATCTGGCTTCTCCAGCTCTGCCTCATCAAAGAAGCAGCTGGAAGCTTCTCTTCCTGAGAACAAACTGAGCTCTGTCTCCCCAGGCCCCCTGCTTCTGACGAGATAGTGGGGGGCTCTTCTGGGAAGGCATCCCAGAATAGGTAATGTCTGGGTTGCCTTTGGAAGGATGGAAAGGAGCTTTTCTGGTCACTCGATTTCAGAAAGGCATTCCAAGCAGAGAGAGCAGCATGTGCTGTGAGACTCAGAAGGCATTAGCTGGTGTGTTCTCGGAGCTGCGGATGGCTTTAGGGGAAAATGAGGGTGTGCGTGTGTGGAGGAGGCAGATGGAGTCAGATCTCCTTGGTTCTCGTAGCCAGGGTGATTCACAGAAAGACAAAGTATTTTCTCAGAGGACTTTATTTTATTTTCTCACCTAGGTCATTGGGGACAGTGAGAAGAAAGCTCTGGACTCCAGTGATGGGAGGGAGGGCAAGAAGCTGGAGGGGGTTTCTAGTACTGCTGGTTACTCTTCATCCTTGTTTTTCCCACTCTTCTGGGTTTGATAGACTCCGTAGCCCAGAAAGGCTCCAACCTTGGCCATGAGGGAGCTGCCGCCTGTAGCCCCTGTAAAACAAACCCAGAATGGCCACTGGTCTCTAAGAATCCAAATGCCTAGAAACCACTGGCTGAGTGTAAGAAAGCCCAGGGCAAGAATGAAGACAGCTGCAAAGTGAATTCTATTTCCCTATTTACTCATGCTCTCAAATTCGAGAAGCAGAAGCTATAAAGACACAAGCAATGGCTTATTCAATGGAACTGCACTTACTTCTGCAGCGAATGAACACACTGTATCATTAACAATGCTAATAACAGCCACTTCTGTGGACACCTGCAGGTGTGGGTGCAGGGAGGATCACAAACAAGTCCTTTCATTCTTGGGGGCCTGTGACCTTTTTGAGAACCTTTATCTCATAAACTCAACAGTGTCCTAATCTACTCCCCTCATCCTTCACTGCATGGGCCCCTTCAGAGAAAGCTCCAATCTGCCCAACTCCTCCACTTTGATCATCCATACTTGAGAAAAGATGGAGGGTTTGGAGAGACAGAGGGGGAGTTTGTCAGGAGTGGCTCTTCTCCAGGATTTTGGAGGCCTTGGAAAGAGAGGGGGAGGGGCTGTGGGGATGGGTAAGGGAAGGGAAGCAGAGGAAAAGAAGGAGGGAGGAAAGGAGGGGTAGTAGGAGATGGAGAAGTCATGGAGGGAACTGAAAGGGAGTGGGAGAGGGAGATATTCTGCAGCTCTCTCCCCTTCAACGTCTCTGATGGCTCAGTAAGGAGTTTTGTTTCTCACCCACAGACAGAGTCTCACTGGCAGTGGGAACCCATCAGCGGCTCCGTGGGAAGAAGGTGGACAACAGCCTCTCCTGTGATTTACAGCCTCTGCAAACCCACTGTAAGGTCAGCGATGAGAAAGCAGTTAGTGAGTGGGTTATCTCATTTCACGATAAACTCGAGTCAACGCCAGGAGTGCTGTGATACTGCGCACGGTGGCTTCAACATGTTTATTCGTTGATTTTGTTTTCGCCACAAAAAAAAAAGTCTCTTTCTGAGACTGAACAGTTACATTAAGTGCTAAAGCTAAACGCAGACAATGATCCTGGTCTCCAAATGAGTGAATTGGGGCTTGTGGTGACTTGGTCAAAACAGGAGGATGGCATCAGGCCTCAAAGGCTATAAGCAAAGCCTCTTAAATCAGACTGACTGATGTGAGTCCTAGCTCAGGTAGTAACTAGTTCTGAGAATTACTTAAGCCCTTGGTGTCTCAGTTTCCCCGTCAGTAGGATGAGGGTTGGGTTAACCGAGTAAAGTATCAGGACAGAGGACCTTGAGGGCCCCGCCCCCACTCACCCAGGCTCTGCAGCGTGGCTACCAAGCCTCCCGCTGGAACGCCACCTCCATTTGCCACTGCAGACCAGCTCATCAACGAGGCGGCCAAGGAGTTTGCTGCAATCCCAGCACCGGTGAAGCCCATCAGGGGTAGCCCCAAGGCCATGAGCCCTGAGGAGGGGAGAGGTGGGGTGAAGTGGTTGCTGGAGGCGAAGTTCTGCCCTACCCCACCTCCCACCTGCCCTACCCCACCCCGCACCCCGCCACTCATCTTCTACTCTCCTCCCCCTAGACTCACCTCCTCCGGCCACAACGTAGGGTATCGCTTCCCAGAACCCAGAGCTGTCCTTTGAGCGGTCTTCTCTTTTGTCTGTGTGGAGAGTGAACAAAGCAGAGTGGGGAGAAGTGCCCCCTACTCTTGCTTGTCGCTAAGACCGCTCCCAAAAGTGCGGGTGGCCATCCTCCCACTGCAGAAAGACACTGAGAAGGGAAGGTCCTCAAAGCACAGTGTCTGGACTGTAGCAGGCATTGGAAACATTTTGGAAGAATGGAGAAAGTGACGGAGTAGGGATTTGAACCCTACACTGTCCATTGTAACAGTTGCTCTCTTTCAGAGGAATATCGGGGGATCCTGAAACTCTCCTCAAGCCTCCCTCCTCTTTATCCGGTCATTCCCCCTTCCCTCCTCATCCATCCCAGTCGGGCCTGGCTCCTTACCCTCAGCGACCCCGACCCCGCAGCAGGTGAAGAGAAGCAGATAGCAGAGAAAGAGCGATGTCAACTTCTGCCACATGGTGGCGCCGCGCGGTGCTTCGCTGTAGGTCCTGGGGACGAACGGGTGGCGGGAGAAGGACACGTGCCCACCAGGGCGGGGCAGTGACAGGAGGAGTTACCACAATGGGCGGCACCAGCCCTAGTGATGCCACGAGCTGGACACCAAGTCACATATACCCAGTAAACAGGGGTTTGTGTTTGCTTACTAATTTATAATGAACAATTTTACGGGTTTTTTTTTCGCCACATCAAAGATTTTGCTTCTAGGTAGGTATAGCTGGCACTTGTCTCTCACCAAACCCCACAGTGTCTTCCTACAGAATAAAAACCGATTTTCAGTTTACAGTTCCTGGTAGGTGCAGAGTAAGCAAAGCTAGCATGGGCTTACTTGTGCTTACTTGCAAATCTGTAGTGAACAAATTGCACGTGTTCCCACAGTTTAGTAAGTAAGCACTAGGAAGCTTGTGCTTACCTTGTTTATTTAGTAACCCACCCCTGATTATACCCGTAACAAACTCTGAGGCACCCGTAATAGATAAGGAAACTGAGAGGTTAAGTAATCTATCTCCAAGCCTGCCCAGCCCACACTTTTAACAGTTATACCTGATAGTTTTATCAAAGATGACATCACTGCCACATTAGCTCCTGCACTAACAAGGCTTTAGAAGTTTTCCAGTCATTTGGGTAGGTATGGCAGTTTGCTCTGCTTTAAAGGCTTAATTAAGGCCCCAAATGTGAAGGAACAGGCATGGGATCACAGGGACCTGACCTGGCATCATTAAGTTACATTTTGAGTATTGCAATCCAATAAAAAAATCTCTAACCCATCCCCTCAGACCAGTTCCAGCCAAGTACACTAAAAGGGACCCAGGGATGCAGCCAGGCAGAGAGTGGCAGTGTGGCACCCCCACCTCAAAGCACCTGAAATTACTTCAGGATTCTACTGAGGGAGTGTAGGGGTGCAGACTGCACCAGTGAGAGACACTGTTAAAGAGGGTTTACCTTGGAGGAGAAAGGAGGAAAGAATCTTCCTGGCGTGGGATCTGGGATCGCTGATGGATGGGCGAGCAGCAGGAGGAAGGAGCTGTGTCAGGATGCAGAAGACCTTTTTTATAATCCACTTGGATTCCCAGCGCACCACCCTACCACGCCTGGTCGCCGCCCTCCCCTCCTCAGCCAGCTAGCCAATCTCTGCCACAGTTTCCATTTCCCGAACTCTGCAGTTTCAAATTTCCTTTTCTAGCTCTGTCTGTGCGCGGCCTGCTGGCAGAAAGTATGCAAAGCAGGCTGCGTAGTGAAGCCTGACCTTCATCCCACTTGGGACTCAGAGTAGTTTCATAAGTCAGTTTATAATACTGTTTGGTTTTGCCTCTACCCACCCCTCACCCCTCTGCTTCCATTTTTTTCCCCTTTTGGGCCCCCATACATGTTTTACTAGTTATCTTTCTATTTTTACAATAATGGTCTTATGCAGCATTTGTCCTTATGAGACTGAGTGAGTTTACTCAGCATAATGCTGTCCAGTCTCTCCCAGGTTATGTGGAATTTGGTGGGTGGAGGGACGGGGTGAAGGAAATGGGAAAGATCCAGTGGGGTCCTGAATAGACGGAGTAATTATGAGCATAGTCCAGTTGTGATTAACTTTATAAAACATAATGCATGGGAATGATTGAAACATTGTGAATGAAGAATACTGTGAAATACAATTTATATGAACTTTATAAGCAAAACAATATAAAATAAAAATTTATTAAAAAGAGAATGTTGTTTGGCCAAAACACAGGGTTTTCATGTTAGGCTTGGACAAGTGGATTTGAAAATTAAACTTAGGCAAAGAAATCTGGACTTAATTCTGTTGAACGTGAAGCAATCTACTTCTGATGTCTAACCTCTTCCCTTAGGGGAGCTCTGGTGGCTAAGAGGATGGGCGTTGTGCTGCCAACCCGAAGGCACATGGTTCAGCTGCTCTGCTGAATGATCAGCTATGCGTTTGTTCCGACTCTATGTCACATAACAACAACCTTTTCTTAGTTCTATATCTCTCTTTTTGTAGAGCTTTATCAGATATATTTGATAGATATACAATCTGAAAGTAATTTCAGATGCTATGAGGTGGGGATGCTACTCAATGGTTGCCACTCAGTCAATTTTGACTCATTTGTTTTTGGTGCCATCTGAACCCTGTCCTATCCTATGCCATCTTCACAATTCTGGACACATTAGAGCCGACTGCGACAGTCACCATGCTAATCCAACTGGTTGAGGGTCTTCCTCTCTTTTGCTGACCTTTTCTCTACCTTTCCAAACATCATGTCCTTCTCCAAGTAATAGCACCTCCTAGCAACACGCCTGGAGTATGCGAGGTGAAGCATCATCTTCCTTGCCTCCAAAGAGCACGCCTGCTGCACCCTCTCCAAGACATATTTGCTTATTCTTTCAGCCGTCCATGGGATGTTCAGTGCTCTCTCCAACCACAGCTCAAAGGTATCAATCTTCTGTCATCCCTATACATTATCCAGCTCTCAAATGCATAGGAAATGATCAGAAAAACCATGGCCTGAATAAGACGCTTCTTAGTCCTCAACTGCTATCATTACTTCTCAATAATTTGGAGTAGTCCCTAGACTTTCCCAGTGCAATGTGTTTCCTTATTTCCTGACTGCTGGTACCAAGGGTGTTAACTGTGGATCCAAGAAAGGTAAAGTTGTGGACAGATTGCATCTCTTCTCCATCTATCATGATGTTGTCCATCAGACCAGTGGTAAGAATCTTTGTTTACTTGACATTGAGATACAATCCATAATGAAGGGTACATTTCTTGATCTTCTGCAGCAAGTGCTTCAAGTCCTCCTCACTTTCAGCAAGCAAGGTTGTATTATGACTCATAGCAACTCTGTAATAAAGAGAAGGACTGCTGTATATGTTTGTAGGCTGTAATCTTTATGAAGTTTCACCAGGTTTTTCTCCTAAGAAGCCATTCGTTGGTGAGTTTGAACTGCTGACTTTTTTTTTCTATAATTATATTTTATTAATTTTCATAAGCATTTACAGAGATTTTGGGCTTCCACTCATCCATTGTTGCACCATTCTCTCTACCCTCCTCCCAGTTTGTTCTTGTCCAAATGCCACAGTGCTTGTCAAAGCCAGTTCTGATTAATCTTCTTTGTCAGTGTATCCTTT